GGGCCTGGATTTTCTACCAGTCTTGACCTCTGTAGGCTGGCACTATCTAGAGATGAATCTGTGTCCTGCTCCTGAACTTCTGCAAGGACAGGGCTTGGTGATATCTTAGAGTATAGAGCCCTGGCACAGAGCAGACACCTAAGAAAAATTGCTGTTGAATAAATAAATCAGAAAACAAATGGATGAATGAGTTCTCCCCATCTGTCTCAGCCCCTGCAACTCCTGGTACTGACTGCTCAGATCAGTGAAGCAAACGATCACAGGGGCAGGTTTCAAGTGAAAAGCAGCTGACATTGGTTCAGGGTTGGGTAGAATCTCACCTTCCTACCTGGGTGCAAAGCTCCCATACCTGAATGTGGCCAAAGTCAACGTTCTCATAGTGGAAATGGGCACAGTCAGCCAGCCGGGGGAAGGGACCTCGAGGAGCCGAGAGCCTGGGAGACAGGCAACACATCACCAGCAGCTCTTTCCTCTAGCCTCCCTCTCTCCTACCACAGGTCTTTCCTTCCCTCACCCCTCACCTCTTCCCAGGCTTCCCCTTCACACTGGGCCCCCCAGTAGGGGGAACAGGCTGCACTGAGCCCTCTCCTGGGCCATCCAGGCTGTCAGTGCTGCGGGCCTGTAGAGGAGAGAGAAGAATCAGAGGCCCCCAGAGATGGGAGCAAAGAGACAACGGGAGCATTGTTATCTGCAAGCCTGGCCCTAGAGGCTGGGTTGCTCCACACACTGTCCTGAGGATGGGGTAAGAGGGGAAGTCAGTGGGAGGTGAGGGCTGGACTGAGGACAGCCCTGCTTCTTTGTGTGTGGTCTGGGGTGGAGGAATGAGAGCAGGGACCAAGGGCAAGGGAGGCAACAGGAGAGAGAGGATGCTGGTTTCATCCCTTGCTGTATAAGACCCTCAGTAGCCCCTGCAGGGTACAGTCACATCCTGCCATTGTCTGGACATTCCTGGTTCACATCTTGCCAGTCTTCTGTTTCTGACCTCTTCCCTTCCACCAGCATCTTCACAAGTTCCAAGATCATTGGACAAAACACAAATCTGGTCCCTCTCTCAACAGATTCTGGCCCTTCAATGGCTTTCTGTTGTACTCAAAATGAAGTTGGGATTTTCTGGTCTGATATTCATTTCCCTGTGCTGGTTTCTGTTTACCTCTCCAGTCCTGCTCCCGCACTGCTCTCACTATCAGAGCTCTTGAACTTCAGAGAGTCCAGCATAAGTGCCATCTTTTTCATCCCCTCAACCTGGAAACCTTGTCCCCACCCTATCACTAGTCTCTCCTCTTCTTCCCTCAGGTCACAACTCACACGTGTGCTTCATCAGGGAGCCCTGCTTGACCCTTTAGGCTGTCCCTGACATCTCTTCAGCCCAGCCTTGAGCACTCTGAGACGCCACTGTCTGGTGACAAGCCCATCTCTTCCACTGGATTTTCACTTCCCCAGAAGCAGGGCCCCAGGCCAAGACCCCAGCACAGAGCTGGGCACAGAGTTGGTGCTCTTCAATGGGAGGAATGTACCAGGTTCCTCTCTGGGTCCCCAACACCCAGTGTCAGCCCAGTCACACAGCAGGAGCTGGGTAAAATCTGATGAATAAATTAACCAGCTGCCAGATGGGTATTCAATGATTCACCAGACTGGGCTCTAGCTTCTCCCTCCTCCATGTCCCTGCAACCCCAAGTTCATCCCTGGGTCTCACCCTCAGGGTCTGTCCCCTGCCAGCCCATGAAGCTCCCCAAGGCAGGATGGGATCTGACTCTCTCTGTGCCTGGAGCATGAGGCCTGCACAGAGGAGGTCTCAGTGAATGTCTGCTGAGTGAGGGAATGAATGGATGAATGAGCTGGAGCAGCATGGTGGGAGAGGGAGATGGTGGAGGAGGGGAGATGAGGACAGGAAGATGGAGCAGCCCCAAGGATGAAAAGGAGGGAGAGGGCTGGTTTGTTGAGCGAAGTAAGGAGAGGATGGCTGGAGAGGTGAGGTAAAAGGTTCAGATGGATGGGAGAGGGACTGAGGTAGGTGGAAATGAGGGAGATGGAGAAGAAAAGGGTCAGGCTGAGGATGGAGTGGGGTGGGGGTGGGGCTCAAACATGAGAAAGGGGCTGTTGGGAAGAGGGGGGCTGCACCCGGGTGGCCGAGGAGGATGCTAAGGAAGGCTTGGGGATGGAAGCTGGTTTCCAAGGATCCTCGGCAAGCCCTGCGGGGGCCACTCGGGTGGCGGGAGTCCTTCGCTGGACCAGCCCCTCCTCTCAAGCCGGGGTCTTCGGCCACTGTCACCCCATTCAGGGCGTGGAGGGGATGCGCTGAGGGGGCGGGGTTGAAGCCAGCGCTCCGACCCGGGACCAGGCCAGGGAGGACAGGGACCGCTACGAAGGGTGAGGGGAGGCGCGGGCCGCGGGGCCGGGCGGGGCCTGGGGCGGGGCGCGCAGGGCGGGGCCGCGCGCGGACAGACTGACACGCGGACGGACAGACTGACGGCCACCTGGGCCCCTCACCACCATGGTTGCGTAGCCTCCTCAGGCCCCTGCCGCGTTCGACCCTTCGTTCGGAGTCCTCGGCGCCTTCGCCACCACCGCTGCCGCCGCCGCCGCCGCCGCCGCCATGGCGACACAAAGGGGAGGGCGCGAGCCGCGCGCGGGCGGCTGTAGGCCCCGCCCCTAACGGCTGCCCGTGGCTCCAGCGCGCGCCCCACGGGGGCGGGGGAGAACCGGGACGCGGCGCCGCTTCTCATTGGCTCTATCCTTGGCCTTAGGGTAATTCCACGCCCACCTGGAGGTTTTTCCTTGGGTTTGCCTTGGGCTCCACCCCTGGCTGTCTCTTCAGTCCCGCCCTCCGAAGTTTGACAGCGCCACGCCTATGACTGCTTTTCATTGGCTGTCATCTCCCTTCTAGACACACCCCCAAGTTCTTTATGCTTTGCATAGACTCTTCTAACACTAAGTAATGGTTCGTTCTCCTTAGCTCACTCTCAGTACACTCTTCCGACAATTTTAACTGGAGTCTCCTACGGCCGCAGGGCTTTGCTTCATTCCTCAAGCAGCTTCTCAAATCCTGGGTTTTCCAGTCCTACCCTGTCAGTCCCGACCCTGACCCCGCCTACAGAATCAGGAGGGCGCCCCGCCCAAGTTCGTTTTTCTTTGCTTCGCACCCTGCCTGGGACACAATCCTAGATTTTAGGCGACGTAGGCTCGCCCTAACCACTGGACATTTTCCTTGTCCCCTCTTCTGCTGTCTACTGGCCTCGTCTTCTTTTTCCTGGGAAAAGGTTTAGCCTGCAATACCGGATCAGAGTCTCGTCTTTCATAAAGCCAATCCCCATCGTTCCTACGACTGACTGAGATGTGCCCAGACGTGACAATCCATAACAACTCCCTTTCGAACAGGACGCTGCCACTGGTCATGCTCTCAGGAGAGTCCTCTCACCTCAGAGAATGTGTCGTTGGTCCGTTCATTCACGCAAAGACCAACCAGTTTTTATTTTTATTTTTCTAAGTGCTGGGGACTGAACCCAGGACCTCGCTCGTGCTAGGCAAGCGGTATACCACTGAAGTACAGCCTCAGCCCCAACTCTCATCACTATCCATGGATATATCTATAATTGAAACAGGGAAGCCAGATGTGGTGGTGTGCGCCTGTAATCCCAGCGCTCTGGGAGACTGAGGCAAGGAAGATCTCCCTTGTCCTGGCCCTGGAGAACTTAGCGATTTTGTGAAACTCTATCACAAAATAAAAAATGAAAAGAGCCGGGGATTTAGCTCAGTGGTTCTGCCGCCTGCCTCGCAAGCGCAAGGTCCCAAGTTCGATCCCCGGTACCAAAAAGAAAAGAAAAGAAAAGAAAAGAGGCAAACATTTACCAAGAGTATGTAAAAGTGCAAATTTCCAATGATGAATATCATTACATTGTATACCTAAAATGTACCAATAAAAGGATATACAGTTAAAAAAAATGAAAAGAGCCAGGGATGTAGCTTAATACAAAGGTCTTGGGTTCAATTCCCAAACAAACAGGGAAAAATACACCCCACCCACATCAAAACTCAAAAGCGAGTGGGAGCTGAGCATGTGGCACACGATTGTAATTCCCAGGACTTGGGAAACTGAGGCAGAAAGATCCTGAGTTCAAGCCCAGTCTGGGCTACATAGAGAATTCAAGTTCAGCCTGGACTACATAGCATGACCCTGTCTCAAAAGTCGGGCATGATGGCACACACTTATAATCCCAGCACTTGAGAGGCTGAGGCAGGAGGATCTCACTGAGAGTTTGAGGCCAACCTGGGCTATATAGTGAGTTCGAGGCCAGCCTGGACTACATGGTGAGACTCTGTTTCAAGAAACCAAATACACATCACTTTTGGGGGGGGGTACTGGGGATCAAACTCAGGACCTTGTGCTTGTGATGCAGGCAGGGTGCCGCTGAGCTAAATCCCCAGCCCTGTATTTGGTTTCTTCTTTTCTTTTTCTTTTATATGAGAAGTGTGACTATGTTGAGGTGGCCGTGCTTTGAGGAAACCCAACTGATGGACAGAGGTTGTGTAGGCATTACAGTTGACAGTCCCTGCGGAGCTCATCCTTTGAGTTTTCTCAGCCCTGATGCCAGATTGTAAGTGAAGAAGTTCTAAAGGATTCTATCTCACAACTTTCAAGTCAAGTCACCTTTTTAGGCTTTCCAAATCCTATAGAGAAGAGACCAACTCTCCCCAGCTGTGTCCTGTCCAAATTTCTGACTCAAGATCCATGAGCATAATAAAGTGATTGTTTATGCCACTAAGTTTGGGATGGTTTGTTACCCAGTAATACTAATTAGTATGGCCCCTTCTATTTCATTTAAGTGTATGATTTGTTCAAAAAGGTTAAAAACAAACATTTACCATGTCTCTGATGTATAGAAACTGTCCAGGCTATCCTTGGACTTGTGATGCACCTGCTTCCTACTCCTGAGTACCAGGATTACAAGCTTTCTATCCCCTTGTTTATCAATACAGATATCAAGACAATCCTGATCATATATTATCCATCATTTTATTATGAAAAGTTTTTAACATATAGTAAGTTGAAAAATTTTACAGCGTACATCCATATGTCCATAGTTAGATCCTATTATAAACATTTTACTATATTTGCCTTATCTCACATCTATCTGCTTACAAAGATTGTCCAACTAGTCTTTGTATTTCAGTCCAAATTGCAGAGTGGTACACTATTCCCTAAATATTTTAGCATAGATACCTTTAGCTATAGCTCAAATATATTTTTCTTCTGAGGTTAGTTGTATATACAATGAAATTCACAAATTTCAGTGAGATTAGTAAGTGCATACACTTGTGTAATCCATCCTTAGCATGGCAAGTTTTAAAAACCAGTCTCTAAAGCAAGTGTCAAAGAGTAAGAGAATGAGGAAGAAAAAGTAAACTAGGTAGTCAGTATCATCTTTTAAAATTGAACTTTGGAAGTTAAGCTGCATCCTTTCCTCTGTATTCTATTTGTTGAGGGGGCACAGTTTCAAAGGGACATGACATTGACTCTACTTGGAAAAAAATATTTCATTGGGGAAAACAATTTATTCAGTTCAAAGTCATCTGGCCTCAAAAGACGTTCCTTCTCTCCACAGCCACCTCCTTGGAGACCTGGGAGGTGACTTGGATGGAGGGGACCAAGATCTCAGGTCTTCAGTGTGGCCCATCAGGAGAGATAATCTCGAATCCACTTTCCTGGGGAAAAGCCAGGGGACAGAGGTTGGGGTACGTGCTCAGGACTAGGGTCTGAGACTATGGATTGGGAAAGGAGCTTAGGAGGGGTAGGCACCAATGGGCATCTCAGAGGCTCACCTCTTCTGCAGTCGCAGCTCTGCCCTCTGGGCTCTAAGCACCTGCAGTACAGGGTCATCCTGAAACTCGCTGCCGTCAGAGTCTGGGAGGAAAAGTCAACTCCAGGGGGCTGGATTCTTAGGGGGCTGGACCTTCACTAAGGTCCCAAAGGGCACAAGCAACGCACTCACCTTCCGCAGCCTCCAGAAGTCGGGCGGCTTGGGAGAACAGGTCCTCAGAGGGGTCATGGTGAATCGCGGACAAGGGCGGGGCAGCAGCCACAAGAGATCCAGACTCCAGCAGAGGCGATGGGGCCTCAGGGAGTGTGGACACCCTCTCAGCTGGAGAGGGTAGGACCTTAGGCTTTGGGGACCCGGCTTTGGCTGAGGGAGTGACTTTGCCTTGCCGAAGCACGGATTCGTCTGGCGAGGGCATGGTCTTGACCTTAGACGGACAACTGGATTCGGACCGAGGGGGCGTGGCCCTAGCCCTGGAGGGCGTGGCCTTGACTTCCAGGGGAGGGGCCTCACGGCGAGGGGGCGTGTCCTCCAGGCTATCCGAGAACAGCCGCGCGGTCACCACCTGGCCCAGGGCGCCCCTAAGCTGCGCGCCTGGCCCCTCGAAGGCCGCTGTGACTTGCCCGGCTGCCTCCCAGCCCGAAGCTCTGGCCTTCCGAGGCTTGGGGCCTACGTTCTCCGGCTGACTAGAGCTGCTTGGCTCGGGGGTAGGCGGGCTCTGGAGCGTGGTAGAGGATGTGGGAGCGGTGGTGGGGGGAGTCGAGTTGGAGGAGGCCAGGGGAGCTGGGATGGAGGCCAGGGAAGTCTGGCTGGAGACCGGGGGAGCTGAGGTGGAGGCTGGGGGTCCCGGGGGAGCCAGGGGAACTGGGGTGGAGGCCAGTGGGGGGGGAGGAGCGGTCCCGAGAGATACCCAGGGACTAGACTGTGGGGTCCAAAAGAACCCATGGGTGTTGGGGGCCCAAAAGATGTGAGGAGAGGACTCTAGGGGAACAGGAGGCCTCTCCACATAGAAGGCCTCGGGAGGACTTGGCTGGGCCACACTGCCCCACAGTGGAACCCAGGTAGGCTGGGTCGCCAGGGAACCAAGGGTCACCGCAGGGGCAGAAGGCTGTGGATATAAAGAAGGATCTGAGAGGGGGACGAAAGGAGTGGAGGTCCCTCAGGTCCTTCACTGACCCACTTGGTCCAGCTCCCCTCAGGATCCCCCCTCTCTCAACTTACCTGAGTGGCAAGGGCAGGAGTCTGGGGCAGCACCCAGGTTCCGTGACCCTTGACCCCTTGAGCCTGTTCGAGCTTCCGCCGCTGCCGCCACTGGTACAAAATGTCATCCTCTGGCCGAAGGGGTGCCTGGGAGGAGGCTGGGGCTGGAGCAGGAATGGGGGCCTGGGCTGGCGCTGGGGCTGCTGTGGGGAAAGTAGAGGGGAGAGGGTGAGGCAGGAGCCAAGGCGCTGAGCAACCCAAGAACAGCCAGCACTCATACTCTTCAGGCCTTTCAATAATGCCCAATTCCTCTCTGGTGCCAGAAGTGGGGACAGTTCAGTCAGAAGAGAGCAAGCTTGGAGTTCTCTACCTGCGATCTTCCAGTTCTTCATTCATCCAACAAATATTTATTGAGCTCTTACTATCTACCAGACCTATCTGTTCTGGGCATTGAAGGTACAATGTCCCTACGGGGCAGACTCTGGAATGTCCCCACTGTCCCTACCCTGCCACTGCCCCTCACCCTGGTCCAGCCTTACCCCACCTAGATTATCACAGCAGCCTCTTCCCTGGACTCCAGACTCTCCTGTCCACCCAACCTGTTCCCCACTCACAGCCACAAGAAGGCTGTGAATCCTGGAGTATTCAGGGCCCTCCTCATTATGAGTCTTTCCACCTGTACCTCCCTCCTGGTAAAAGGCAGAGGCCTTTGAGCTGGTGGTTCCTCCTGTCTAGATTGTTCTTTCCTCATCTTTTTCTCCCCTTCCCCCACCTTTTGGTACTGGGAATTGAGCCTAGGGCCTTCACGATGAGCTACCTCCTCAGGCATTTTTCTTTATTTTTGAGACAGGATCTCACTAAGTTGACAGCTCAGGTTGGACTCGAACTTGTGATCCTCCTGCCTCAGCCTCCCAGACTGCTGGGATTACAGGCCTGTGCCACCATGCTCAGCTTGATTCTAGTTTTAAATCTGTCCTCTTCCCTCCACTCTGCTCTTCAGACTGTGCCCCAGACCAAAACAGCAGCATCTCTCACAGGGGAATCTGTTAACATCCAAGAAATATAGAGTTCCTTCCATACTCAGAAGTCCCTTGAGGTTTGAAGTATTAATTAACCTGATAATCAAATGCCTCACCATGCCTCCATGGCCCAACATAACTGGACCCCTGCCAGCCTCTTGCACCTTGTGCCATCTTATACTCATCCCTGGCTCTTGCCTCTTCTGGTCCATTGTACTGTGCTCCCTCACAATTTAGATCCAATGTACATGCTGGAAGGTTCTTGTCCATCCCTATCTTCCTCGTAGAGGTTTCCACTTAGCTGACACCTCCTCCAGGAAGCCCTCCCTGACTTCCCAGTTCCACAATGTTCTCCCACAAATCCTTCATTTCTATGTATGTATCACAGTTGTTTGTAGGATTATGTGGCAGCACTCTGCCCTATTCCCACCGTACTGAGACCTTGAAGGTGGGACCATGTGTGGCTTGCTGTGGAATCCCCAATCCTGTTCACAGGGTCTCACACAAGGTAGGAATCAATGTTAAATGAATCAATGAATATATTTAACTAAAAAACAACCTATGGAGTAAGTACTAGTTTTATTCTCATTTTACAAATGAGAAACCTGAGGGTCAGAGGGAGAGATGAATAAAACGTAAAGCTTGGAAAGTGTGAAGAATCAGAGAGGTGAATCTTTGGGCAGGATTGTATAACATATTGAACACCTCCTGCTAAGTCGTGCTTGCCTGTCCCCACTCAGGAAGCCCCATGAGACCTGGATAGCAGCCGTCTTGTGCACCACAGCAGCCCAAGTCCTGGATACAGAGTAACAGTAACAACCACAACAACATAATAGTAATCCGGGTCCTTCATCCTATCTCTGAAATGTTGAGAGGTCAACAGTTTGCACTTGTGTTTGTTTTCTTTTTTTTTAAAGTGGGACTGAGAGTTGAACCTAGAGCCTTAGCACTGAGTTACATTCCTAGCTCTTACATCTTTTATTTTGAGACAGGGTTGCACTAAGTTACCCAGGCTGGACTCTTTTTAACTTGAGATTCTCCTGCCTCAGTGTCCCAGAGTTCTGAGATTATAGGCATGTGCCACCATGCCCAGCAGTTTGCACTTTTTTAGCTAAGTTGTATAATATATAAACCTTAGACATGACTCTGGGGTAGTACCCCAGATTCAACCACATTGAAATTTAGCTGAACTATATGAAACTGCTAATATTCAACTATTTTGACTTTTGTTGTTGTTGTTGTTGTTGTTGTTGTTTTGGGGGGGTACTGGGGATCGAGCTCGGGAACTTGCATTTCCAAGGCAGGTGGCAGAACCACTGAGCTAAATCTCCGGCCCTATTTTGACTTATAAAAACAAAACTTCATGCTGGGCATGGTGGAACATGCCTGTAATCCCAGCACTCTGAGAGGCTGAGCAGGAGGACCACAGATTTGAGCCCAGCCTGGGCAATTTACCAACTTAGTGAGACTCTGTCTCAAAAAATGAAAAAGAGCTGGGTGTAGTTCAGTGTGAAGGCTCTAGGTTCAACCCCCAGTACCACCACCACCAAAAGAAAAGCCATATGGTTCAATGTACTATGGACATAGCAAAGAGTATGAATATTCACCCTAAATGAGATCAATATAGATTGTAAATAGCCTTATAGGTCAGACTTTGGTGTCAAAGCAACATGGTGCCAAGTTTGTAAAAGCCTTTGGAGTCTGGAGCTGTTGTTCAGAATTACAGAGAGAATGGCAGGCCTGCTATGTTCATGATATCTGCAGACAGAGCCATGCTAAGTGTTTCTTCTTTATTCATGAACTCATTTCATCCTCACAATGCCTGTAGGAGAGGAATCCAATTACTATTTCTGTTTCACAATTCGGAAAACAAGGCCCAGAGAGGTACAAAATCACACAGTAAGTGGCAGAGATGGGATCTGAACCAGGTTACCTCCAATCTTTGCCTCCCAGCACTTACCAGCTGTTCTGAGGCCAGAGTCCTTGATGGATTCAGGAGCGAAGGTTATGGAGAAGGGAGAGAGGCCACTGGAGCTGACAGGAAAGGAGGAGTAGCTGGCATCGCTGGGGCTGAGGGATGAGGAGGAGATGGAGGCCTTGCTGCAGGGAAAGGCAGAAGTGAGGCAATGGAGGTCTTAGAGGCAGTGTGCTGGGCCACAACTGTAGGAGTGGGAGGGATGATGGGGTGGGACAGGCACCTGCGTTTGAGCAGCCTGGAAGCTCTGCTTTGTAGGCTCAGTGTCTCCAGGTCCAGCAGGGATGAGTTCCATGTGTTGAGGCTCTGTGGGGGTAAAAGAGGTCAGAGGTCAGCCTTCACCTCAAAGGCTGCTGAGAAAGGAGCTCTGGACAGAGGACCTGGAGTGCAGGTCTGTAGTACCTGTTACTCTCACAATCTGTTTCTCCTCAAGGAAGAGAGGCCTAGTGGTCCTCTTTGGATCCACACCCTTCGTATACAAGTCACTACTGTTGAAGGACTGACCTCACCTTCCTGACCAGACCTGACTAATCAAAACATTCTATCTTCTGGTTCACGGTAACTGGACCAAGGATGAACAAATAAGAGTGAACCCCAGGAAGCTATTGCAAAAGCTCCCACTTTCCACTAGAGAAGCTAAGTTAGTACCATGGAAGCCTCTAGCCACTAGGTACCATCCTGGCTACTGTGAGCGGAAAACCTCCCTGAGGTTGAGCCCAACAAAGAAGAACACAGAACCAAGAGAGTTAGGTTGCTCCCAACACTGCCCAAACACTTGGATCTGGCCATGCCTGAAAGCATCTACTTTTAGAGTTCCTAATTATATTTAACACATCCTCTTTTCTTGTTTCAACTTCCTAGAGGTGGGGACTGGCCCTAATTCTATCCCAGGGCTGGTGCTGGCAGTTCAGGCACACAGTGGAGGGAGTGGATGAGGGTGTCACCTGCTTTATTATTTTTTTTTAATTTGAAGTTAGACGGGTTTATTAGAAACAAGGAGAAAAAGAATAGCTCCTAGATTTCCAGGAGGGGTCGAGTGGGCAGCCCACCTGCTTTATTTTCTGAAGGGGAGCCACAGCCTGGGATGTGCTGGCAACCTTGGGTGGAGCTGGGACTGCTGGACTGCGCCTTCCTTCTGGTTTACTGGGTCCTGCTCAGAAATCTGAGTTAAGTTACAGGGGCCAGGAGAAGTAGCTGCAGGGAGCACTAATCAGGAAATATTTTAAGCTAGGGATGGCTGGGACCAAGGGAGGTACCTGCTGCAAGTTGACTGCTTGGGTCTGAAGACTCAGTCTGTAGCCACCAAAAATCAGTTGGGGTAGGGTCTGTACACTGTCGTTCCTCTCGGCTTGTGGGCTGAGCTTGGCGGAACCTGTTTATATACCTGTGAGCATCAGAGGATGGAAGACAGGAAGAGTGAAGAGAACCAAATAATAATAATAATGATGATAATAATAATAAGAAGAAAAATAAGAATAGTTAATGTATATCAAACACCATGGAGAGCAATGTTCAGCAGCCAGATAAAAACAACTGCCTCCTAATTGGCCACCAAAAGCAACTAGTTGTCTTCAATATCTGTTTTCCTTTCTTATATAGTAACACAATTTTTATTTTTAGTCTGTCTGCCTATCTATCTAGTAGCAGTGGGGATTGAACCCAGGGCCTCCCACATGCCAGGCAGGCACTCTACCACTGAGTTACAATACAATGAATCTGGTGACTCAATTTTTAGCTGGGCTCAATAGCCACTGTTCAATGAACTACATTTGCCAGGTGACTTGCGACCACATTACTAATAGGTAATGAGGAGATGCAGTTTTAGAAAGTTGATGTAGTTAGGAGCTATTTTGGTCCATGAAGAAAAGGACAACAACCTAGGGATAGGACAACAAAGATTAAACGGACCTGTATGCCTCAAACCTCAAGAAGGGGCGGGAGGCATGATGGCGCACATGTGTAATCCCAGCACTGGGGAGGCTGAGGCAGGAGGATCACCATGAGTTTGAGGCCAGCCTCGACTACATAATGAGACCTTGTCTCAAAAAAAAAAAAAAGAAAGAAAGAAAAGAAAATCTCCTAGTATCATAAAGCAAAACAAAAACAGAAAATGGCACTAGGAGATATGTACTGTTAATGTGCCCAATTTAAAAGAAGAAACTGAAGCCAAGGTCATACAGTTTTGAAACCTAGGTATTCTTCTCCAGAGTTCTTAACACAAACAAAGTACCTGGTCATAACAGAGCACTCCATAAGCAACTCTCTATAATGATTATTATGGAGTGCCTCCCTCTAACCCAAATTTTCCTTTCCCCTCAGGGCTTCTGGTACTCACTTGGCCACCACAGACTCCCCGCTGTCAGTTAGGGTGGGCGGTGAGGAGGAGTCCATCTGTCCCTCAGTGGTGCTGGGTGGGGATGAGGTCCCTGAACTGGAAGGCCAGAACTCTTCAAACAGCTCAGGGGAGTTGGCTGACACCTTGGGAGCTTGTGGGAGCCTGGAGCTCTGGGAGCTGGATGGGTTCAAGGCATATAATAGGGGAACATACAAGAAGAAAAGTGAGGTCTGAGGGGTTATCCCTGTAGGGAACAAAGATCTCATATAGTCTCAGTCCAGACAGGAGGAAACATATCCCACAGTGTCACCACTGGTAACAACCTAGACTGATGGGGCGCTATGATAAGGGATCCAGGGTAGACAGTTGGACAAAGGAAGACCACGGGGGGTGGGGGAACCATTTCTTCATCTCTCATCTCCATCTCTCATCACATGCCTTCCTTCTTTAGTGGTAACTCCCTTGCTACGAGGCTGGTGCCTAGCACTCTCTATGCGGTGTCCTCACCTTAGGGCTGCAGGATAGCCAGTAGTCGCTTTGACCCTGAGGACCATCCTCAAAGGGACAGTCTTGGATGGAGAAAACTGACAGGCTGCAGGGAAAGAGTGGGGTTGGAAGGCAGAATACAGTCTGTATAGTGTATAATGATCAAATCAGGGTAATTGCATTTCCATCTCCTTAAACATTTCCCAGATGATTCTGAACTGGAGTTCGGGTTAAGAACCGCGACTACACCGTATACTGTTCATTTCTCCTATGTCCGGGGCGGGTGTGTGTGTGTGTGTGTGTGTGTGTGTGTGTGTGTGTGTGTGTGT